GCAAATTTAGTTTCATTTGGTGACCATTTAATGTCAGTTGCAGCAAAATCAATTCTCAATAATACAAGAACTGGTACCCATTCTCCTTTCTCATTTTGGGTCCATACATATGCATTTCTATCTTCTGAACATGAAACAATTCTATTTGATTGTGCAGCCCAATCAATTCCAGTAACACGTGCATCATGTTCATTTAATTTTGCTTCAGTTGTAAATTTATTACCATCAAAACTAGCAACAATAATTTCTTTGGAACATGGAGAATAAGCAATTTTAGTAGCATCACCATTCCAACAATGACATCCAATATTATCACAAAGATGGAAACTCTTTGGAGCTGACATTTCTTTAATTTTTTAGTTCATTTCTAGATGAAGTTCTTACCTCTACTTTTACTTTTATTTTTTAGATTTTTTATTTTTATCTTTTTTTTTTGTTATTTATATTTTTTTATTTTTTAAAGGAGTTATAATAAAAATAAATAGGTTATGGATTTGATTGATAAGTGATATTTTTCTTATTCCTTTCAAGTTTCTTCTTTAATTCAATTAATGGTTGAGGTAAACTATTCAACTCTCTAATTGGGACAGAGTGTTTATTAATTTCATTAAGACATATCAGTGTTAAACTTGAATGATAATCTACAATAAGTTATTAAGTTTATCTAATTTCAAAGAAAACAAACATAAGTCAGAACAAACTATGCTGGACAAGATACAAAATACAATTATAAAGAAATTGACAGTCAACAAAATCTTTTTTAACAGACTCATATTCTGGCATATGACTTATAAACAAAGAAGACATTCTCTCTGTTTTTCTTTCTAAGATTACACATCCCCCATTCTCAGATTGTGCTAAAATTTTAGTATCCTTGCTACATCCAATAAGTTTTCCTGTTTCATCAATCCATTTTAACTCATGGAGAGGAACTTGTGAACTTGTGTATCCATTTGATTTATAGGGAAGTGGAATATTTTTCCAAAGTATAGTTTTATCAGAATTGATATAAGTAATTTCTCCCTCTATTCTTCTTGTAGTTAAAACTAGTCCTTTTTCAATTCCAAAAAGTGTGCATAGTCTTCTATTATCATAGATGTGAAGTCTATTAAATGGTCCTTCTTGATGATAAAAAGTTGCATAAGTTCCAATAATATGTTTATTAATTCCTTCATTCATATACATTTCTATCGATTCAAATTCTTGTTCTGTGAATTGGTAAGGTGCTCCAGCACAATCTCCAAGAATAATTACATCTGGTTGTATAATTTCTAACATTTCATAGCTAAAATTTCTATATATAGTAATGACTAATCCCATATCCCCATATAATTTCCAATTTGTTTTTAGATGTTCCCACATTTTATTACCTCCAGTATGAGGGTGTAATACAACTACTTTAATCGTCATGTATTTTGAAGTTTTATTCTCTTTTTATGTAGAGGTTCTTTCCTTTCACCTAGATTCATTAACCTAGATTTAATCACAAGATTAAGTTTTGATATCAAAGCTAATTCACAAAAAAAGATGTAGAACCTGAAGAATGAAATTTAAAATATTACAATTATTTCTATGCAAAAACAAGGTCTTGGTCTTCTTTAGAAGACTTTTGTTTAAAAGTAGATAGTGCAATATCTGCGTCAATCAAAAGATGATCATCAAATTTATTTTCAAGTTGTAAGAAGAAGATTGAGATATCATCAAGGTCTAAACGATTTGATAAGATTATATCACGATGTTCTAATAACATAGAAACAGCAATGAAATAATGAAATTTATTTTTTGGATATGCAATTATTGCATCCCAGAGTCGAATACATTTTTCAGAAACAAAGTCTCTTCTAAATAATAAAATAAGCCATTTGTACATAAAAGAATATCCAATTTTTTTCATACTAAAATATTCTTCGAGTTCTAAGTCTAAAGTTTTTACTATTGGACCAATAATACAATCAAAAGGTATTTTACTATTAAAAATAGAAGACATTAATTCAATGAGTTGAACAAAGATAGAAAATAATTCATAATCATCCATACTGCATTCCATTATTCCAACTAAAATATCACTCATTCCTTGTTGATATCCTTTATCTAAATCATATAATATCCAACATTTCATTAATAACTCAATACAATTTTTTATTTTTTCAATTGGACAATTCCAATACTCTAAAACACTTTTATTAATGGTTGTTCTTTTTACATCTTTTAATATTTGTTCAATTTCTTCTTTAAGTATTTTACAATGTTGTATTTGAATATCAACTAAATTATTTACTTGTAGTTTGATCTTTTCAAATATATTTTTATCTATTGAATTTCCAAGACATTTTGACCATAATGAACAACGACAATCATTATCAACTCCTTTATAAAACAATCCTTTTCTAATAATACTTTCATTTTCATTATTCCATTGATAATTCTTATTAATTTTTTTAATATTATCAAATTGTATTTGTTTACACCAATCAATTCTTTTGTCTTTTTGTTTTTGATTACATAATTCATTAAGATATTTAGGAATATCTACCATTATTGCTAATCTTCTTTTGTCAATAGAAATGTTTCCATTACAAAAATGAATTCCAAGTTGTTTTAAAAATTCACAAAATTTTGAGAAACTCCCCTTTTTAAATTTTATTGGTTTTATATTAACTGGAATCGTTCTTCCTGGAATAAAAATGATTTGAATTTCATTTGTTTCATTAGAAACTTTATATGTAGGAGTGTCTTCAATACAGAAACAAATTTCATTTTCTTTATTTTCTTCTTCTAATTTAGGTGTTTGTGATGGAGAAATTACTGGTACTATATTTTGATTTAAGTATGATTGAAACTTAATAAAAGTATGTCCTTCGATTGTTGAAATTAATAACACTCCTTGTTGTGGTGGATTAGATAAATAAGTAATATTGTCTATGTGTATTATTTTATCTGTTTGTCTTGGAGAGCAAATAATATAATTTTGTATAACTACTTTAGAGGAAGGATAAGCTTTGTTATTTTTTTCTTCTTGGTGCTGGTCTTGAATAGTATTTCTTATTCGTGGTGTAGCAAATAATTTTTCTGTCATGGATAATTTCCAATGCAGAAATGAGATTTAAGATGAGATCTAAAATCTTAACTCTTTCCTAAAAATATGTTTTTTTTAACACTTTAAAATCGTTTTATAAAACAAAAAATAACTTATTTTTGATTTAATTTAAAATATTTTGTTATTCTTAAGTCATTTGGTTGTAAATAACAATCATTAGAACCCATTATTTGAAGAATAAAATTATTTATTGACTTACCTATTAGATAGATATCTGATTGATTATAGTTAATATTATTGTATTTCAGTGTTTTAATTCTCCTAAATTTATTAAGTTCTATTTTATTATTTTTTTTAAATTCCACTAATCCTTGATGAGATTGAATCTGTTCAATAAGAATATTATTTGTTAAAACATCTCTTTCTCTTCTTCTTTTTTTAATATCAACAAAAGATTCATCAAAACTATCATTTGATAGAATCGTTGTGATCTCTTTTCTTATTTCTAGTATTACAAACATTTGAGAAGTAGTTTTACTTTTTTTATGAGGTTTTTTTATTGTTATTGAATATCCAATTGATATTAATAACCCAATTAAGAATGACTGTTGATGACAATCTCTATCAGTTGATTTTCTTTTTGCATATAATAACTGTACTGGTTTAGGTATTTTTGTAGATTGTGCAATATATACAGTTTCTGTTTCTTGGATAATCTTTCCTTTATAAAATGCACTCATTATACAGGTCATTTACGTTGTGTATATTATATGTTTTAGACTCTTAAATAGTTCAAAACAAATATCATTTAATTTGAAAATGTTAAACTGGATAAATTCAAAATAGCAACAATACATAAAAATGATGTTTATTGAATTAAGTGCATTAACATTTTGTTAATCAAGTACTTCTAAAATAAAATTGATCAATTTAAAGTAAAATCCTATAATAAAAGAATTTATAATAATTATTTAACTTGAAATAATTCATAAAATAATATATTTTTATTTTTATAATTAAATGTATTATTATAAATATCAATTTTGTTTTAATTCTTACAATATTTTAATTTAATTAAATGATTTTTAGGTCTGTAAAAACATTTTGTTATTTTTTTATCATTTTTTTAATCATAGTTATACCCCTTTATTGGCTAATTAATTTATTACATTTTGTGTTTGGTTTGTTGGTTTATTCTTTCCATTTAACTTTTTATTTTTTTAGACGTATTTTTGTTTTAATAATGTTTTAGACTATTTTTTATTAATAAGAATAAGTATATTTAAATCAGATAATATTTTTCATCAATTATTTATTAATTATATTAATGATGTTTGAATTTTTTTTATTTTATATATGATATTAATAGAAGTTATTGAATTTTTAAATATCATTTTGTTTTGTTCTATATTTTAATATCATTGTTTTGTCTTGTTTAATTTATAAATTAATGACTTTAGTTTATCTATATTTATTTATAACTATTTTCTTAAATTAATTTTGTAAAAATTATTATATTTGTATTCATTTTTATTAATAATTCATTCAAATGATTATTATTTATTTTGTTGACTTTTTCATCATTTCGATTTATAATTTTGTTATAACATTATTCATCAATTATAAATTCAGTTAAAATTTCAAATATTCATTCAAATTGTGTTTATTAGATATCCATTTCATATTTACTTCACAATTCATCATGAATAATAAGTATTTGGATAACAAATTCAATTTATATATTCAATTTATTGTTAAGTCTTCTAACAGAACCAGTTTTCTTCAAAGGCTATATGATACTATGAATTAAATCAGAAAAAAAAACAAGAAGTAATTATAGAAATTAACTGAGTTACAAATGAATAAGTTAAAATAAAATGTAAGAAAAAAAGGAAATAAGAGAAAAAGGAAGAAAAATGAAGAGAAAGAATGATATAAAAGAAAAAAAGTGAAATTAAGAAGTAGATGAAGATGAAAAGAATAAAAGTAGAATGTTGAGAATATAAAATGAAAGAAGATAAAAAGGAATATTTCAAAATGAGATAATAAATGATGAAAATAATGATGAAATAATGGATGTATTTTTTATTATAGAAATTAGAAATATGAAATAAAAAAAGCGTTTAATTTATTGATGCAAATTATTTATCATTATTTTATTTATGCAATTTATTTTATTCATTTTTATTTTTATAATTTTTATTTATATATATAATTTATTATCTTTTTTTCTTTTTAATATATTGATTATTTTATTTTATTATTTATTATTCTTTTATTTATTTTTCTCTATTCTTTTATTTGTTCATTTTTATTATATTTATGAAATATTTCAATATTATAAAATAATTTTATTGTTTAATTATTTAAATGATTTATATTAAAATGAATTCATTTTATATTTTATTGTTTTCTTTTATCTTTATTTTATATTTTAATAATTTCTTTAATATCATCATTTTATATTATTATTATATTTATTCTTTCATATTTTTATTATTTATTATTATTATGTTTTCATTTCTTATTTTATTTTAATTTATTATTAATATTATTTATATTTCTTTTCTTTCTTATTATTCTTCTTCTTTATTCTTATTATTTCTTTATTTCTTATTTTTATATTTTATTTATTTTCATTTTGTTCATATTTTCATTTCTTGTTTTGATTATTTTGATTTGATTTAATTTTAATTTTTAATGTTATTATATTTTTGATTATTCTTATTTATTTATCATTTATTTATTATTTGTTTTTATTATTATCATTTGATTTATATTTATTATTTATTTCTTTTATTATCTTTCTTTTCTTTATTCTTTA